GAATGAGACCAAGAGTGGACAGAGATGAACATGAAACAGATGATGCACGCTTGCTTGCTCACCTTTAGTCTTACATGAGGCTGAAGCAAGTGCCCAAGGACTTGTTTTTGTTTCTTCAAATGCTGCTTCTTGCCTGGACAAAGACAAAATGACTTCCCAGAGATGGAGGAGACCTTGCTGGGGACATGGGTGACATCATAGAGCAGAAAATGAAGGAGTGGAAGAATTCCATATCTGAGCTACTTTCTTGAGCTTTTTTTCCTAGAAAATGGGAATGCGGGGGTGGGGGGTGGTTCCTGGGTGGCTCAGTTGGTTAGGTATTTGCCTTCGGCTCACATCATGATATCAGGGTCCTGGGATTGAGTCCTGCATAGGGCTTCCTGCCCAGCAGGGAACCTGCTTCTCCCTCTGCCTGCCACTTCTGTTTGCTCGCTCTCTCTCTCTCTGTCTCTCACACAATAAATAAATCTTTTAAAAATAAAAAGAAAATGGGATAGAGGGACTGTGAGAAGGTGAAAGCTATAATATACAGTGGAAAAGACTGTTGGTCATAGAGCCATTTAAAATCATATACAGTTTAGGAGCACCTGGGTGGCTCAGTGGGTTAAAGCCTCTGCCTTCGGCTCGGGTCATGGTCTCAGGGTCCAGGATCAAGCCCCGCATTGAGCTTTCTGCTCAGCAGGGAGCCTGCTTCCTCCTCTCTCTCCGCCTGCCTCTCTGCCTACTTGTGATCTCTCTCTCTCTGTCAAATAAATAAATAGATGTCTTTAAAAAAATCATATACAGTTTATAAAAAAATAAAAAAAAATTTAAAAATCATATACACTGACAATTATGTCAACAAATTGTAATCTTATCTAACTTTCCATGGACTGCCATAATATAAAAACAATTGATTTTCATCATTATGTTAAAATAGGTGTATTTTATCCTGGCATCATACAAAGTGCATCTCCTTCCCTCTTCCTCCACTATCAAATGGTTAATGATGTAACAAAATAATATTATAGATGCTGGAAACCATTTAACCACATGAACACATACTCCGATGATACTGTGTTTGTGGGTCTGTATTTTAATTCAATGGATACTTTAAATGAGTACAGTTTTAAATTATACAGTGAGAAGGGGATTAAGATTTCTTAAATGTGTTCATAGCTACTCTAGCCTAGCATGACTATTATCTTTTTTGTGGTCACTAGCTAGTATTTACTCACATATATATTTTGTTCCTACTTATAATCAAAGCATAAAATTTTATATATGGAGTTCTTTATCATTCTCCATATTGCCACTTATTTGTTACTTTAATGGTTACTTAATGTACTGTGGAGTTAATATAGCAACATTTTTTTAGATTCTCCCCTATTGGATATACAAATTGTTTCCATTATTCACTATAATGAATAAGGCTGCAGTGAACATTTTCCTAAGTATGCCATTTTCTAATTTTGAATTGTTACTTTGGATAATTTGTAAAATTACTAAATCCAAGGATATAAATATATTTAGGGACTCTTAATATAGGTATAGGTGAGATTGGGGATTCAATGGGCTGTACACATCTATAGTACCACCAGAAATATACAAGTTTATCATTTGTTTTCCCAAGAATCTCATCTACATTCATATTTTATGATTTATAATTTTAATTAACATATTCTGTGTCACTTTTTTATTTATTTGTATTTCTTTCATTGCTATTTAGATTTTTAAAGTTTATGTATGGCTTTACATAAGCCTTACTATTAGTGAGGCTTAATCAAGGAAATCACTTAAATATCAGAAAAACGCAGGTTCAAATTCCAACTTAGGCCCCTTCTTGTTGTCAATCAGCCTCTCAAAAAAAACCAGTTTCTTCATTTATGAAGAACTAATGACAGTGAGACCCACTTCATAAAGTTATTGAAATGATTTGGTGAATTAAGAGATGTCTCATGTGTTAGCAGCACACAGGGAATGATTACTACTTTTTCCCTTGCTCTCTGCCTCCCTCATCTCCTCTACCAATTCTCCTGCCCCTGACTTCTTCTTGTGCAGATTGTCCATTCAATTCTCTTGGTACAGAGTTTCATAGAAGCTGCTTTGTCATTCCAGAGTCTACATCCATGTGGGCTCATTGTCAGCATTTTCTAGGGAACTGATCTCTGTCTTGCCAGGAAGTGCTGAGTTCTATTGCAAAGCGTTGAGCTCAGATCTGTTGGACCCCATGAGTTAACTAAGTTTTCACACAAACAAATGGGGAATACACTTGACACAGATGTCTTCCCATAGATTACTCCTTCTAGGATTCTGTGGATAGTCCAATTTCTCTATTAAATGTCTTCTCTCCAGGTTTCCTCCATTAGGTTTCTCAAAGAAACTTTGATTTTTTGCCACTTTCTTTTGGTTTTGAGAAACACTTTATCTTAATACTCTATCTGTTGCATCCCACCCAAGAATAAGCTTCCTTCTGTGGTAAAAAGCACAGTAGGTCAAGTAGTCGGAAGGCAAGACAATTGCTAGAAACTGCATTCTGGATGATGCCATCATTTGGATATTATCTGACATACCTCCAGTGTCCATTTACCAGGCATTACTGCTCAGTGGTGGCCTGGAATTGGTATCCACTTTGAGGGTCTTTGTAGCAGGAGCTGTCTTTCCAAGCAGATACTCTTCTTGAAAGCAAAAATAATTCCTAATACATTATCAGGTATGAGAAAGCCTGTTAACAAGCATATAATTTCTCGATCGGAAAAGCACTGAAAATATAAGTTGCTATCCTCTTCCATGAGGGCGAGGCATTTGGGGGGCTACCAGAAAATGTTCCAGTCTCTCACCTTCCTGATGAGAAGTCGAACTGAGGAAGTCATAGTTTAAGCAGTTTTCACTTCGGGATTTTATTAAAGAGAAAAGCATGAGGCAGGAGAAGGAGGGGATTCGTTGTCTGCAGTCTCTTCCAGCCTCAGTAGCCATACTTCTTTCTCATCCTCTGGAAAATGTTACAGGCTCCTTTTGAATTTTTATTTCTTACATAAGCATTTACTTTGTGTGCCACACACAAGGCGTTTTCACTTTGGCATTGCTACACCCGCTTTCCCCCCTTCTCCGTGCCCCCTCGCCCCGTTTTTGTCACAAGTGAGCGCTGGCCTCTCTTCTTTCTGAGTGGATGCAACAATTCCAACTTCTTACCGACGTCAAAGCCCTTCATTCTCACAGGGCAGCAGCAAAGTTTGACGATTTCTACTGAGTCTTGATGATTTCTACTGCAAAATCCCACCAAGCCTGAGGGAGGCTCCTATAACAATTAAGTCCACAGAGGGAATTCAGGGATCCCAGCAGGGTTTAGGCAGAATGACCAGTGTTTCCACTGTGGCTGGGCAGCCCACGGGAGCCACCACTGCCTGCCATGGGCCATACAGAGACACGTAGCCTCGAACATATCCCAACTCACAGGTGAAGAAGTGCGCACTTAGAAGCACAATCTGGTGTTTCTACCCACACTTGCATTCGTGAGGCTGGAAACGAAGGTGATGCTAGAGACTGGGTCCTTGTGCCCAGAGCCCCCTCTGCCACATGCAGCGAGAAAGCTCCTGACATGAAACAGGACAGTGACTGAAATGACCGTATGATGTTCATCGTACCACACGCACTTGCTGACGAATCCTGGCCTGGGGAGCCTCACCTTGCAGCCAGCGGAGGACTGGCCCACAACTTCAGCCTCAGTCTACATGACTGATTTTGTCCTTTGGGCAAACCCGTCAACCACGGTCTCCCCTCAACCATGGGTCCCACTGTCCTGCCTTACAGAGCAGTTGTGAAGCCAGAACGAGACAGGATTTTGGAACAGGGTCACATTCTCTACACTTGTTGGAGTAGGTGTCTTTGTTAGTCCTGTCAGGCTGATTTACAGTAATTGAAATCCATAAAAAGATGTTCTGCCATTTGTTTGTGTATGTTCTATTTTCCTCACACTATTGTACGCCCATTAAGGCGGCTTTCGGAACATGCCATTCTCCCTTACCGCTTCCTGCATTTGAACAGGCTGCTTGAATATACTTCTCCTCCCTCCGCCCCCAAGTCCCTTTGTCCATCTTCCACTTTCCCACTCAGCTTTCAAGACTCAGCTTAAAGACCCTCTGTACCATGGTCTGGCAAGTAATCAGAAGATCTCCATCTAATGTGGCCTCTTCCATTTGCCTGGGCTCAGACTTTTTGAAGGCAGTACCAAGTCTTACCCAGTTTCCAACCCAATACCTGATTCATCTTATTCACTCGGTAAAGGCTGATCAAAATGATGCGTGAATGTCACATACTTGTTGCCATAAAACAAATTGTATTAATTAGGTGAGTGATTCTTTGCTCATTTGCTATAAAACTTAGGAAAGAATTTCAACACTTAGCTTTTTAATACAAATATATATATGCATTATGTATACATATTAAGGGGGAAGGCTAATAAGGTACTCCCAATTATTGGAAGTTTCAGACTGAGGGCATGAGACCTACGACAGAGACCGCCAGTTGTGATATTTGTGTAGACAGGTGGGTTCCACAAATTTATCGTTCCCCCAATAGCTGACATGACTCACTCATTCAGCAGGATGCCAACTGGTATTATAGAAGAAAAGGGTTTCTTGATGAATATCTGGAAAATGTTGGCATACATCTCTCTTTATAGAATTTATCATTTAATTAAAATGCCATCTCTGGAGTAATAGAAGAAGGGTGATCAAAGGTACAAACTTCCTGAGAGTTCTCCTCACCAGGACAAAGAAATTATTTTTCTTTTCTTTTTTGCTTTGTTTTTAAGATATCTATATGAGATGATGGTTGCTAACTAAACTCAGAGCAGTAATCATTTCACAACGTATGTTGTGATGTACGTTGTGTTATATCTCGATAAAACGGGGAAAAAATAAATAAAATGCTCTCTCACAGTTTATTGATCCAAGTAACCTCCTTCATGTTTTGTTTTGATTTAGATTAATTTTCCCCTTCTTTATTTGTTTGATCTTCAGCTTTCTTGGGGACATGGCCCCTGTTTTCTTCCTGCAAGAAAAATTCAGCACACAGCAGAGTCCTTAATCAATTGGATTGCTTTGAGGATCCTACCTGGAATAGGTAATGTAAACTTTCCACAGATGCTTCCCCATTGTTTTGAATCCTATTTATGATGCAACAGGACCCGTTCCTGTCACTCTGGTTCTTCACTGAGATTGCAGTATGTCCTGAGAAGTAAAATTTTTGTGTCAGAGATGACCTTTGTCTTTTCCGCTTAGAAGTATATGTTTATAGCATGACTTTCCATCCTCCTAAAGACCCCTTTATCTTCTTTCTTATGTGATACATAGTAAGCATACTCTCATTCCAGGAAAGAGGGGAAATTCTATGCTCATAGGATTCTGAAAATAATAAGATTTATCTACAATTTCATGGAAATCAAGTATTTGAGATATGACAGATCCTCTGGTATGTTTATGATTATAATATCTATAGTTCAAGAGTCCAACAGAAAGGTATAAACGTCTTTTCTTTTTTTTTTTTTTTCTAAAAATTAGTCCAGGCTTAGACAAAACTGAATGCTAAATTATGAACTAAATAACTACATGTGTGAATAAATAAGTGATCCCTTCATCTCTGAGGTTTGACAATTACTCCCTTGGTGTATCACGATATAAATGATGGAAGAAACAAAGTATAGAGTATTTGACAATTTCATTATATAATGAATTCTCCTGAAGGAAATGTTCTAAAATTCGATTCTTACAGGATATGAGCCCTGTAACTCTTGATGTGATCCGATTCAGACTATTTGGATAACTACTGCGTGTGCGTGTGTGTGTGCACGTGTGTGTGTGTGTGTGGTGTTACCACTAAAGGATCCTTGATTACAAGATTCATTGCGTTCTTGTATTCAACTTTTAAAATATTATTAGGAATATGGTAGGCTTTGTTGAGATACTGACATAAATTTTTTATAACTCCTATCTATATAAATTATATTTTCAAAATTAAAACTCTATAACTCCCCTGCCTCCCCCCAAAAAAGTGCTGGAAACCACATTTGGGAAGCAGCACAGACTTGAGAGTTAATCAGATATGAGGACCCAGCTTTACTACTTAACCCTCTACCTTGTGAAAATTGTTTTATGTTGCTTCACAAAGAGTGTTATAACTCGACTTGGAAGGGAGGGAGAATGGAGGGAGGATTACAGTGTATCAAGTACACCAGGTCACCTTTATTCATAATGAAGCATCAGGTAATTAATTATTGTGTTTCCAAGAGTCTCCAAAGAATTTCACTCCTATTATTCTGTGAATGTCTGAAATCCATAATTAGAGTTTAACTCCCTGATTTAAACAGAATTTGCAACTGGTCACCTACATGTCAGATCCTTTTCAGTTTGTTTCTTTTTATTGGGTTTTGTGACCTACACAAAATGGACATATATATGTTTTTCAAAATTACCAAGTCAAAAAACCAGGAGAGTTCACATAAAAATCTGAGTCCCCAGTCTCCTCTTTCTTTGTCACTGGCACTGCCATTAAACCACTTACTCATTTAGGAAATCTGGTTGCCGTAGAAGAGAACATTCCCTCTACTTAACCTCTCCACATCCACCCCATCAAGTTGTTCAAGTTTAGCCCAGACTCGGTGGTTCTCAGCCCTCAGGGTGAGAAGATGCAGGTGCCCAGGTTGTACCCAGAAAATTAAGTCCTAATCTCAGAGTGGAGCTGGAGCTTTGGAATTTTTAAAAAGCTCTTCAAATGACTTACAGGTGCAGCTGGGGTTTCAAACCACTGCTCCGAAATCTCCATTTGTCTCTATGTTAGTTTTCACACACACCCCCTCTCGCCAGGTACACGTGGCATCCATCACTTCCTTGTCTCATCAGTGTGCGGCAATGGTCCCAAAATCACCTTCTCACTCTGTTCTGGTTCCCATTCAATCCGTTCTCCACCATACAGCCAGCGTGATTGTTTATAAATAGGAAAGTGTCTGGCCAGTTCTGCTTACACTTCTTCAGTAATAATAACAGTAATGAAGGAAACTGCTAATGATCATTTACGTTCCGGTGGGATGAAGACCAAGTTCAGGCTTGTTGAAAGACCGAGGCACTGAGGCAGTGAATTTTAGTAGCAAATGGAACAAAGTGCCTAGAAGGTGTAGCTGAAGATACCGAGGCAATTTTCCTCCATCCGAGCATCGGTTCTCGGCCTAATCTTCTGCTTGCCTGCCCCTCCAGGCAGTGACTCAGAGGCTAAAAATGTTATTGACATCTCCCACCAATTGCCACTTAATGCATTCCTGGTATCTTGTTACCATCAGGAGCAAAGAGATTTCGTAATTTGTCAGTGACACTATTATGAGATTAATTTTATGGCACAGCCACTGTAGTTTATTAAATGTCCCTCCATCGCGGTAAATTTTAGGCAGAATAACAGGATTTGGGGCATGTGTTTGTTAGGTGGGGAGGTGATGGTTATAGCTGGGATCATTTCATCTGTGGCTCAGATCTACAGGCCTTTGTTTTCACCGATATTTATCTGAGCTGCACCAGAGATCTTGGTGCACTCATGGTGACTATCCAGTGACTTTATAAACCACTGTTTCAGCCACTGAAATCTTTCCTTTAGATTCTAAACACCTATCCTTGTAGATGTTGCCCTTCCCATTGGAAGGGACAGAGATAAGTAGAAATCAAAATGCTTTCGTCAAAAAGGATACCCTTTGAAGGATAGTGATGCTATTTTAATCAAAATTTTAAAAGAAATCAATAAATGTAAGGTGCTTTGCTGCAGAGTAGAAACTTGGATCCATGTCAGCGCCCCTTGTACACGGCGTAATCAACTTTTATTTCATGCTTTTGTCTTCCACATAGAACCTTGGGCATTTCACCATTTACATTATTAAAAAGCTCAAGAAGCTGCATGTGTTAAGAACATTTATAAAAATGTGCACTTGACATTCAGGTAATGGAGACCAGTGGTGAGGTTATCAATGTAGCTACTTTCTTTACCCTAAATTATTTTCATCCATGAAGCTAAAGTGCGTTTGGGGAACTAATTTAACCAAATAGCATGCCTGCGCAGTACTGTCTTTCTCCTAAAGGTCTGTTTGGTGGCGGGGGGAGAAGGAGGACAAAATACACAGAGAGAGACAAACACACAGACACTGAGTGTCCTTAGAGACCCAGGACAGGACAGTGCTTAGGAAATGCCCCTGCATTTCCTTTTGTCCTCAAGGTGGATTGGTCTTGTGTAGAATTCTCTCTGGCGAATAGAGCTTTAATAAGGCCACAGATTCTTTTCATGCTGTTTTAGGAATTTATTTGAAAGGATTCAGGCAGCGATGCCCCTTATGTTTTAGAGTTTTACATTAGTGCAGGCAAAGCTTTTCAAATAATATAAAGCCATTTTTTTCGAATTCCTTATATCTCCGAGTCTCTGGGTTCTGGACAGAGGAAGATTAAAATCTCTATAAAATCTACCATATTGCCACCATATGAAACAGCTATTGAGAGAGAAATTAATAGTACTTGAAATGAACCTTGGGTTAAGTGTACTTCACTTTGTATTTTCTATGACTTTTTTTCATTTGCCTTGATGTCTCTTTAATCAGAGTTTCCCTAAAACTGACCTACAGTTGGTCCAGATTAACTTTAAAAATTGAATATGAAAGATAAATACATCCTGTGTTTGTTAGAGGTCAGACACACTATGGTGCTTGATAATACCAAGTTCATTATCAATGTTTGTCTTATTTTGTTTTAATATATCAAGTGGCTCCAAAAATACACCTTTGTCACAGATATTTACTAGTACATCTGACTTTTTCTTATTCATCTCATTCCCCTAGCACTTCATGCTGACTCTTGAGTGAGTATTTTAGAACAAAACATACAGTCTTCCAGTACCCTCCATGTTTGGACTCCACATTAGATGTTAGTAAATATTTGTGGAATTTGTGGAATGAATAATTCCAATGCATTTTACTTTTAGACACAAGCTAGGAAGTGACTTGGCCAGTGAACTACACAAATGAAATAATGAGCAATGAAAATGGTAATTCATCAGATCAGAGACTGTATCTGATGTGCTCTGCCGAAGCAGAGAGATGAGCATCATTTTTAAAGGATTTGGACAAAGTCAAAGGGCCAGGAAAGCTCGTATTTTGTTAGCAGCTCATCCTGATGTTATTAAAGCCATGGCTGGTTACTTCCTTCTTCTTTGCCAATATTTTCGTCTTTAATTTCTTCCCTGCCGTGTTGAGATATTCTAGTCTAAAAACTCCTATCAGAAGTGTCTTATCTTTTGAAGCTTTGCTAGAGTCATGTGGACAAACCTGAAAAGGTGGAGTGACTATAAATATAAACTACAGAGTGGCTATAAATACTAGTCTGGTAAAGAAAGAGTTGTACTAGTGAACAGCTGAAGAGCTTCCGATGTATCCAAGTAGATGGTCCGAATGGATATGATGTCGGCACAATTCTAGAAGCCCTTGATACATGAAGTTACTTTTCTCACTAGTTTTGAAACTAGACTGCGTTTGTCATGTAACAACACACAGTGTTGTTATATACAGGGAACTCCTGGTTGACTCATTTGGAGGGCCCTGCAAATCTTGACCTTGGTTGTGAGTTCCAGCCCCAGGTTGGGTATAAAGATGACTTAAAAAATAAAATCTTAGGAAAAGGGGTGGGGGGAGATTAACTCAAAAAGCAAGGGTTGAAGATAATAATAATTAAAAGATATTCTGGAAGATATATTTGTATTATAAAGAGAACAGATAAACAGATATAGATAGATATTAGTCCTGGTTTGTTTTAAAGTAGCGTAAACCTCTTTAATTCTCTCCACAGGAGTTTTTAATAACAATTGCGTAAAAATGCGATCTGCTTGAATGCTACTAATTTGTTTTCTTGAAAAACACAGAATGAGATTTTTCTCAGTTAATTTTTTGGGGGGGGGAGGATTCTAGTTGAAGCGTCACACATTTAACATGCAGGAGGAATGATGAGTAATAAAATACTAATAGGACCAATTGTTGCCTTAGCTTCCAGCATTTCCTCTGTGCGGAGAAGGATTTACAACCAGGCATGGGCTAAATAAACATTTGC